GTGGGAAATAGGAGTAGAGGCAGACCACGACTGAGATGGAGGGACGGTGTGGACGAGGACGCAAGGAAAGCGCGGCAAATTGGCAACGGTTGGCGATGAACAGAAACGACTGGCGAAATAGACTGGGGAAGGTAAAGGCTCAACTAGAGCTGTAGCACCACTGATGATGATGATGAGCTCAACAAAAGTATTGTGACTTTAAGCTCATAAACATTTAAACTAACTCAAAGGTATCTACATGTAGGAAGTTTTTTTTATTTAAAATGTCGGCATTTTTATTTATTAACCAGGGCTTTGTTTATAAAAATTAATAAATTTAAAAAGTTTCGTTTCGTATAAAATTTATGTTTTTTGTGTATATTTTCGAAAATTTATTGTTAAAGGATATTATTTATAACTATAATACACAAATATATAAGTTATTTATTATTTCATATCTTTTCTACTAATAACAATGACAGAAACGAAACTTTTTGCACAATAAATATTAATTATAAATTGTTTACACACATTACTCGTTTAAAGAAACATTTAACAAACTATCTAATTATCTTTTGATAATCTATGCAACAGGACTCCGTAAGCCGTAACTTAATCATATAAATAAGTAATGTCATCGATAGGTTATTCCGTGTGTATAAGTAACCAATGAACGAGATATATCACAGTTTAATACATTATTTAACTTATTTATATTAATCTATACTATATTAATCTTATTGTCTATTATAGAACTAAATAAGAGGCACATTAAAACAACGTCTCAATAAAAATCCTATAAATATTTGCAATCCACTATGGGAAGAAATAAATACTGCAGCAGTTTCTTTAGAACCAATCATGCTATTTAATATGTGACGATCTTTTATGGAATAAATTGACAAATTAATTAAAGAAAATGGTGGAAATATCGAATACTTACTTTGACAAAAATAATGTTATTTATTTTAATTATTACTTAATTTGGTTTGTAAACAAAATGTTTTGATTATGACTTTAATTTAACATTAAACGTAGAATAGTTGATGTAAAATCCTATTATTCTGTTATTTTCTCAAATCATTAATTATCCTGCTGATGTTTTTATCACGATTAACAATCGAAGAATTATAGCAGGTCTTTTAGGAAGAACTATTTTTTCGTTAGATGTAATCGGATCTAATCTGTTTTCACGATTTTGCCAACCATAATGCAACGGATCAAGATTATTTGAGAGCCAAACTTGTGTTTGATAATAAACTCTTATACAATGCTTATCCGTAGCAGTAGTTATCCAATAAGTGGATGTTGGCAACAATTCTGGCATACTGATCTCGAACTTATGTGGCTCTAAAGAGTGCATGGGCATCGAGGTTTGTCCAATCCCTTAAGTTTTTAAGCCATGAGATTTTCTGAGACAAAAAATAGAAATAGTTAAAAGGAAAGTATTTGAATTAAAAGAAAAAACGTCAAAGATTCGTCCGAGAAATCCTGACGGATGGAAAAAAGGCTGTAATTGCTAGAGAGAGGGGAGAAGAATATAGCTCTCAAACGGAAAAGATTGTGGTAAAGAAGGAAGCTGATACAGGACTATTATGTAAAGAGAAATGTCGACTCAACTGCCATGTTAAATTTGACACAGAAGCGAGGAAGGCTATTTTACAAAAATATTATTCACTGGATTGCAATGCAAAAATAAAAATTGTTATTTAAAAGCCTAGTTATAAAACCAGTTGCGCGACATAGGACAAACATTAAAAAACCAAAGACGTACTCTTTTACTTACTCAGTAACTTTTAATAAGAAAACTGAAGTAATTTGTCGAAATGCATTGTGTTCCCTTTACCAAATTGGCAGAAAAAAGATTGAACTTCTTCAACAAACGTTAAAAAAGGGACTAAATGCTCCATCGCCTGATAACAGGGGTCGCCATACAAATCGGCCTCATAAATTAAAGGAAGAAGTAGTGACGTTTATTGTAGAACACATTAAAAAATTTCCAGCAGAACAGTCCCATTACTCGCGTAACAAAAATGGACACAAAAAATATAATCCACAAGGAAAAAATTCCTGTAGCTGGCTGTATACCACGTATAACAAAAAGAGGTTAATCTTTGTAAATGGGTATATTTATTTAAAAAACCCTTAAAAGGGCCACATCAATAGAACAAACGTTTTCGGACTACACAGTCCATCATCAGGTTATTAAAATCGAAAATGCTAGGTCATAATGCCTGAGCCACCAAAATATTAAGGTAAAAACCCTTTAAATTACATTTAGTTATGAAATGTTGTACATTGTGTTATAAAATAACTGTGATGTTATATATTAAATTAAATTTGACCAAAGGTAACACATGGCTCAAATGGGTTCCAGAGCCGTGCGAGAGACAACCTCTGCACTCGGAGAACAACGTGGAACTCTCTCAAACAAAAAATATCTCTCGCCTCTCTTGAATGTTATACAGATGTACAAGATGTACTTAAAAGAGTGTGAGCAAAATCAACTGGATAAGGCGTATAGAGTAACCCTTTCGTCTTACGTAAAAATATTTTCAACTAAATTTAACTTGTCCTTTGGGCAACCCAGAAGTGACACTTGTAGTGTCTGTGACTCGGGAAAAAATACAGTAATTCACAGAGAGAAGTACAAATCGGCATTTGATTCTCAAAAACCGGATAGAGAAAAACCAGCTATCCAACCTAACACCTGCTATATTACTATGGATCTTCAGCAAACAATACCTCTTCCAAAACTGACAACAAATAAGGCGTTTTATTTGCGTTAAATGTGGTATTATAATTTTGGGATTCACTGCATAACTTATGAACAAACACAACCATTTTTCTTTAATTGGACGGAAAATATGGCCAATTGAGGCAGTCTTGAAGTGGCTAGTTGCTTGCTTAGGTTTTGTCAATTGCTCAAAGAAAGCCAAAAAAATTTCGATACCTTATTATCTGGTCAGACTCATGCGCAGGACAAAACAAAATCTTTACGCTTATCAGTCTCTATCAGTTTTTGGTATTAAAGGGTATGTTTAGGGTTATCGACCATAAATTCCCTGAGGTGGGTCATTCATACCTCGATTCAGACCGAAATTTCGGGCAAATAGAAAAAAAATACGGAAAGTTGAAAACATCTATGTGCCTGAACCATGGACGTATAAACATAGATGGACACAGCAATAAGATACCTTTAACACACAATGTTTTGAAGTTTCGATAGAATGTGATGCTTCCGCAATGAGCATAAGCTTGCTTGAATTTTTACTCGCGGGTAATTATTCAGATTTTAAAAATTCGGAGTAGTAATAATGTATAAAAACACGTTCAAAGAATTAAATAAAACGAGAGTTTATATATTATAAAATTAAATATACAATAAAAAATATACAATTAAATACAGTTGAATTCAAGTTAATTTTTTAATAGGTATCAAAATAATGCTACAATAAAAAATCTTTATATTTTCTCCTAAATTTGCTACCCAAATAGTTCGATCGTCAATATTATTTGGAAACCTACATAGAAAAATAAATGAGTTTTATTCATTTCACTAATTTATTTGTATCCATGAGAAATATTAAATTAAAAAGGTACTAAACAGATCTTTTTTAACAAGATGATGTCTACTTACAATTTAAAAATGTCATGTCATGTATGTCACTAATTTCATGAACTCATATCTTATTCAATACATTAATGAACATGAATAAACCCAATGGTACGCCTATTAAAATGTAAACAAACACGCTTCCTTATTTCCTCATCTTAAATAATGTAAATTGTATGTACTTACAAATGAAATGAGAGATCGGGATGTAAATATTTCGTTTATTTTATTTCACTTTTCACAAATATCACTCAAAATACAGCCAAAATATCGAAAAACAACTTTTACTAAAAAGTAAACAAACATGGAACAGCATTTGCTTTATATTTTGATTACAATTAAATATATTAATCTAACCATTAAATTATTATTTTGGTTTGATAGCACCTGTAGAGTATAAAATACGGAGTAATAATTTCAGCGACTCGCGAATAAGAAATTTTAAAACAAAACGTGACAACAGTTGAAGGTGCTGAGAATGTGACCTATTCAAATAATTTTGACTTCACAATTTTATGTAAATAACTGAGTCCATCTGTGTTTATACGTCCATGGCCTGAACAATATAGTGATCTTATCAAATCCTCGAGCACTAAAAGTAGTGTTGTTGTCAATATGGAAAATTACTTTTATGATTTTGAACAGTTACCAGCAAAATTACATCTGTTAACAGGAAAACAAACCTGACAGGAGAGAAAGTCAATTTTAGGAACGACATTAAGTGGATAAGAGTAGACGAAATTGGTAGCTACCTGTACAAAACTTCTGTAGATGAATTTTCACCTTTTCAAAAGGTAGACCTCTTAAAAAAAGGAAGCAGGGTAGTAACAAACGAAGATAACGCCACACTGAGACGAATTGAAAAAAAAAGGGGCAGTATTAGTTCCGAAAAAAGAAACAACTTGCGCGAGCAGCTTGCATTTGTTAAGGATGAATATAAGTGGTTTTACGAAAATAGTATAGGAGATAGTCAAGAAAACACAAATAAAATGAGAAAACCTAAATAGTAATTAGTAAATGTAGCATATAATTTTCTTTTACAATGTTCTGTTTTTGAAAATACAATATTTTTTGGTACATAGCCTCTTTTTTCATTTCCCACCTATACTAACAGCGTTTAATTTTTGATGGATAAAGGTGTTATGTACACTCTAAGTATATTTTCATCAAAATTATAATGCCTTTGTGTAATTTTATAGTTACTTTAAAAAACTACAACCATACATACAAAAACACCTTAATATAATTTTAAATCATAAACAGCGCAAGAAAGTTCCAGTTAATAAACTTTAAACTCATTTTTCTGGAAATAATGATTTGAGTACATGACACCTTTACCCACTTGTGTAATTATTTCAGTTGGCTGCATACGTCTAAACTATATTTATATGTTATTTTTTTTCAGATGTTAAAATCCTGTAGAAAGTTAAGCATGACCGTTCGATCACCAGCTCTACCAGCTCCTGGGTACGGAGGAGGCGCTCCGTGGCAGATGAGACAAACTTGTTCGTGGATGGATAGGCACGGTCGGCCAGTCTCTCCACCTATGGAATACACTAGATCGGGTCCGGTACCGCCACAAAGGTACGGTTATGGTAGATCTTCAAGCAAAGACAGGAGTATACGAAGGGTAAGCAAAAATATGTATTATTGGTATATAAATGACGACAAATCTAAATGGGCAAACTAATAATTAAAAAAATTAAATAAAAATAAGAAATGCTCAACTTAAAAAAAATTGTATAAAATATTTTCATATCCTTCAGCAACGTTTGATGACTTCCATCCGCCATGCCTCTTTAAACTAGTTATGTCGGCACCAGAGTCAACCAATATTTTTGCAGAAGACCGACGAAAGCAGTGACCAGTATATTCTGTCGGATTTACCAAGTTTAAATAAGTAGCAATTATTTGATGAATAAATTGATGAATTCCTACCACTTGTCTACAACCCTTTTCGCTTTGATATTTAAAGAAAAATCGGTCACTGTTCATATTTTCTGGTCTTAACGAAACATACTTTCGATAAACATTCAAGTAGATCTGATTAATTACAAATGATCTTGGTTTGTTGGTTTTCGAATCAGGTATGCTGATTAAAAGCTTAGATTCTAAGTCTTCTATATCGTGTACAGTCATTCGGACTAACTCATCCATTCTACAGGCCCCAGAAATACCAAATATTACAGCCACCTAAAAAATAAATAAAGCTATAATCTAAATAGAAATTAAAACCTTGTAAATTACCTTAATCATTAAATTTTCTTTATCTGGAGTTTCCTGGATAGATTTTTCAATTTCTTCCTTCGTTAAAATCTTAGATTTCTTTGCCCTATAACCTTGAGCTCGCCGTTTCAATAAAAAACGAAGTTTTGAGTACGCAGATATATCTACATTGTGTTTAAGTGCAAGGGTTGACTTCAGCATTGAATAATTGGCCCATAATGTTGAAGATTTCATCTTTAAACAAAGGTCTAGAAAGTATGCCATTACAACATTTTCTGAGAAAGAACTCGTATTTTTACTCATGCGATAATCCATAAAACGTCTGTATGCATTTTCGTACTTTTCTCTTGATTTCTTTGGCAATAATTCTAATGAAGCAGTATTCACTACCTCAACCAGCTCTGGAGAAGTCCCAGGAATGGAAATTTCATCATCACTTATCATTTTACTTTCGAGAACACCAGCAATTAAATTTATCAGCGTCAAGTTTGACAATTCAACCTCAATACGTTTCCATAGTAACCCAAGTAATTTTATTAGGAATTTCAAAGCACCATTTATTTGGGAATAAAATTATCGCGTTTTTTTTAAATCAATCAATATCTGTCGAATTTTAAACGATTTGCGGAAAAATAGTATGTTTACCTCGTAGGAAAAGCCACATTCCTGGACTCTGTGTTGCTAAGTCTCGGCTTGCGCCTCGACTTAGCAATCTTCACAGTCGTCCAGGAATGTTAAGCTTTTCCTACCCGGTAAACAATGTACTATTAACATCATATGAACAAAAATAATGAAATTTAACGTTAGAGTAGTGGAAATGTAAACATATATGAATGCCAATGGTCATAATAATTATTATTAAAAATAAGTGTAATCTGTTTGTAATTTTAACACATTAAAGATATTTTCCTACATATTGTAACAATATTTTATAACAGAACTTTACTTTCATCTTCTAAACGTTTGTTTTACTACGAGACCTATTCCATATGGTCAGCAGTCAATTCTCGATTTTCGATATTTTCGCAATTTTCCAGCAAATTTCCCGTCGAACAAAACAAACAATGTGGACCGGCCATCCCATCAGTCAATCTGCATCCCTTATTTGTTTTCCACTGCCCGTTATCAATGTTATTTACAATGTGCATTTTGTATGAAGATTGGTGGATAAAGTGGATGCAATGTTGTCAAGTTACAAGTAATTTATTTATATGGCTATTTGCAATTTATCTAAAATACACGTTTGAGTTAGTTTATGGTAATTTAATATGTAGAAAGCAATAAATGTCAACAACTTTAGACAGGTAATATAAATAAATATCTTTGTTTTTCTATTTTATTCTTTTCTGCTGTACTAGTACATGGCATTCTTTTTTTCTACAATTAACTATAATATATATATATATATATATATATATATATATATATATATATATATATATATATATATATCGGAAAAAGGAGTACGACCGTCAATCCAATATATTATATGGATCACTCAGAAGAGTGATGGGTTCTTATATCGGTCTCAAGGTGGAGAAATAAAAGACAAAGTTGATAGCCTACTTTATCTATTTTGAAGACGTTTCGCTTTCGTATTCTGAAAGCATCATCGGTTCATCTAAAAAGTACAATATGAGAACCACACACTCATGGAAAAGATGTTATAAGTGTTACCTTAAAAAGACATGTAGCAGTCAAAGATATTAACAAGTTTGTTAATAAAACTAAAGTAAATGGACATTATACGGTAGTATTGTATAAACAATCAATTAACTAACTTAGCAAAATTTGCACAGCAACTGACCATGTGGTCTAAAGTGTAAGTAATATTTTATTTTATCTTAAGTAGTGAAAAAGAACCAAGAAAATCATAGATTTACTTCCAACTATTTGATAATTATTTAGCTTTGATTTTAACTTTAGGTAGCATTATTAAAGTGATGTTAATAAAAAAAATATTTTAAAAAGGAGTGTAAATGAAGTTACCGATCAAAGCCTTACAGCTGCTGCCGGGAAAATGGCGTTAATTGAAACAGACAAAACCCACCACTCTTCTGAGTGATCCTTATAATACATATATATATATATATATATATATATATATATATATATATATATATATATATATATTGAGATAATATTAAATATTAGAGAAAATTTATAAGTTATATACTAGAGAATATTATAAAAAGTATTCATATGCGGGCATCTTTAAGAAATCAGCATAATAGTTTGTTTAAAAAGTTTTTATTTTGCATTGTATTTGCGTATTTTGATAGTTATGATATTATAAATAGATTAAGATGAATAAATTTGTAATATTGAGACATTTTGTGAATAAAAGTTATATGGGACCGTGAATCCAGGTGAAATTGAACAGAAAGTGGACATTTGAAATAATAATTATGGATTAAAATAGTGTTATTTACTAATTTAAGATGTTTATTTAAAAAAGTCTAAATAGAAAGAATCTAACCTCTTTTCTTTCGAGAATATTCGCGAACATTGAAATATCTATAAATACGCTCTCACTTCGAGTGTAGGAGGGAGATTAAAAGATTTTTAGAAAGAAGATTAACTATTGAGAAGTCAAACTATAACAATTAATTTTTGGAAAAAGTCAAGTTTTTGTTAAATTTTCATAGAAAAGAAAGCAAGCAATCAGTAATATATAAATTATTAATAGTTAAAAGTCAATCAAGTAAAGAAGAAAGAATATTGCATAATGTTAATATTAGATAAAAACGTTTGTTGTTTCAGCTATAATTAACCCGATTTATCGAGAGTTACAACGAGAAATAAACAATCAAAATTAGATAGAGTGCAAAACAAAGTTAAAAACTAATCAGTAGTATAAAAAGTGAACTTCTAAAAGGTGAGTCAGTGAAATAATTATAAGCAATTAACCAAAATACACCGAAGAAGTTAACTGATAAGCGCAATAAAAAGCAAAACCTTCACTGAAGTCTTCATCAATTTTTATGCGACGTTGCCACTGTGAGCAAAATATCCCAGGCGACAATATTTTAGCTCGTTGTAATAATTAAACGGTAGACACTGTTTTCTCTGAACCGTTGAGGTGGAAGATAGTACATGGCGCCGAATAATGAACAAGTTGTTGGAGAAAGGAAAAGATTGGGAGAGCGAGAGCTCAGTAACGGACGATGGAATAAAAAAAAAATGAGGGATGATGACATCGAAAATGAAGAAGGAAGAGAGCATACGAACAATAGAAAGCTCTCAACAAACTCACCACGGAATAAGCATGAATCAAAACTAGATACTATAATTGAAATGATGAACAAGTTGGCAAAAGATGTCACAGAGATAAAGAACGACCAAAAGAGCAGTAAAGAAGCAATAAAACAGCTAATCGAAGATAATAAAAAGTAAAGAAGGAAAACAAAGACCTAAAACAATAAAACACAGAAATCAAAGAGGAATTGAAAGAAATCAAGGAGAATATGGAATTTATGGAGGGAAAAACAAAGGAGGAAAAACAATGTAGTGTTGAATGGTATATTAATAGATACCTATGATCAAAGAGTAGTAAAAGAGGCAATGGTGAATATATTCAAAATATATATGGGAATTCAGGTCAAAATCAAAGATACATACAAAGATACAAGTTGTGAACAAAAACCTGTTTGATCGAATTAGAAGATCAGGAAGAAAAAATTCACGAAAAAAGGTCACGAAAAACAAGTAAAAGCTAAAACACCACAAATAAGAAAAAATATATATGAACAAAGACACCACAATGAAAGAGAGAGAAAGACAAAAAACTATAAGAATGATTGTACATTGGAAATAAATTGACACATAAGGAAGAATGGAAATGGAATAATAAAGAAAATAAGATAGACAAACCAAAAAACTAATAAATAACTGCAATGGAAAAACGATGATGAAACAGGCAATGAGCAAGGACATGAGTAGTAGTAAAGCACTATATAAAGACCAGTATGGAAACCTAAAAAAGAAGGACGATAAGAAACGCTTACAAATCCACAAAGCAACTGAAATCAATGAGATTCAAAGTGTGAAAACAACGGCAACTCAAAAAACCAGAATACCTGAAGGATGGCCAATAGGAACATGAATCGTAAGAGGTCTCAATGGTAAGGAGGCTGAACTTGTAGAAGAATTTAATAAGGCTAAAATAGACATACTAGGAATCACAGAGACCAAAAGAAAAAGTAAGAGCACACAGTTTCTGGAAAATGGCCATTTTTTAATAGTTAGTGAGCATCCCCGTCAGAAAGAGCACGTGAAGGAGTTGGTTGTCTTATCAATAGGAACTTGATTAGTAGCATTAAAGATTGGGAATGTATTACCGAAAAGATCCTATAAATTAGAATGACAACCGAAGACAAGAAACAAGTCAACATCTTTATTATA